TTCATCATATCGTCACCTCGGGGCCGCCGGTTGTGGAGCGCCCTCGCATACTCACCGGGGAGAGACTGGCTGCCGGGAAGCACTTCGAGCTCCTCCTCGACCGAGGCATTGTCCGACCATCCGACAGCCAGTAGGCCAACCCTCTCTACATGGTCCGTAAGAAGGATGACGGCTGGCGTGCGACGGGGGATTACCATCGACTCAACGTCCAGACGAGACCGGACAGGTATCCGATTCCTCTAATTGAGGACCTGTTTCAGCAGCTCCATGGCAAGACCGTCTTCTCAATCCTCGACTTGGAGCGAGCCTACTACCAAATACCGGTAGCGCCTGAGGATGTGCAGAAGACGGCAGTCACAACGCCTTTCGGGCTGTACGAGTTCCTGGGGATGCCACTGGGTCTTCGCAACGCGACGCAGACGTTCCAGCGGCACATGGACAATTTACTTCGGGGCTTACCTTTTGCGGCCTGTTTCGTGGACGATCTTATCGTTATGTCCGCCAGCCACGAGGAACATCTGACGCACCTGCGACATCCTGTCCAGGAACCGGCTCAGCGTCAATCTGGCCAAATGTCAGCTGGCCAAGGACGAGGTAGTTTACCTGGGTTACACCCTGGACGCTCAGGGTCTCCGGCCGCCGGCTGATCGAGTGAGGGCGATAACGGGCCGAGGCCGAGGACCGTCAAGGACCTCCGGCGGTTCCTCGGCATGTTCAACTACTACAGACGCTGCATACCACACGCAGCTCAACTCCAAGCGCCCCTCTGCGTTTTCCTCCAAGGCGTGAGGAAGAATGACAAGTCGGAGATCGGGTGGACGGCTGCAACGGAAGAGGCTTTCGCCGGGTGCAAGGACGCCATAGCATCCGCCACGAGGACGACGTTCCTCTCGCCGGAAGCGCCTCTGGCGCTAACCACCGACGCGTCTGACACGGCTATCGGGGCGTCCCTCGAGCAGCAAGAGGAGGGAGTCTGGAGGCCCTTGGGATTCTTCTCGAGGAAGCTACTTTCGGCAGAGTCTAGATACAGCACATATGACCGAGAGCTGTTAGCCATCTACTCGGCTTTGAAGCATTTCAAGCATGTGCTGGAAGGCGGTTTATCATTCGAACTGACCATCGACCGCTCACCTTCGCTCTTTTCCAGCGGACTGACAAGGCTTCGCCCAGACAGGCGCGACACTTGGATCTCATTGCGCAGTTCAACGCGCCGATCATACATGTGGATGGCAAGGACAACGTGGTGGCGGATGCGCTATCGCGGGTCGACGCGATCACGACTCCATCTTCGCTCGACCCCGCTTGCATCGAGGAGGCGCAACAGGCTGACGAAGAACTGCAGGCGCTGCGCGCCGGGACACTGCAGTCTTCACTCAAGCTCCAGCGCCTCGCAGTGGAGGACCACCACATCTTTTGTGACATCTCGAGTGGTTGGGTGAGACCGTACCTGCCGGCCTCCTTACGCAGACGAGCCTTCGATACGGTGCACGGCCTGTCGCATCCCAGCGGTCGCAGCACATCTCGCAGCCTGAAGGAGAAGTTCGTCTGGCCTGGCATTCGGAGGGATGCTCTTCGCTGGGCAAGGGAATGTATTCCCTGCCAACGGGCGAAGATCCACCGGCACACCAGATCGGTGCCAAGGCACATTGAAGTTCCGGACGGCAGATTCAACCACATTCACCTGGATCTCATCGTTCTACCGCAGGTAGGCCAGCTACGCTACTGTCTCACGGTCATTGACAGGTTTTCCAGATGGCCGACGGCAGTGCCTTTAGCGGACATCCAGGCAGACACAGTGGCCTGGGCGCTTTACACGGATTGGATCTGCCTGTTCGGAACACCGCTGACGATTTCTACAGACAGAGGCACCCAATTCGAGTCCGCGCTGTTCACCGCGCTCGCAAATCTTCTGGGAGCCGAGCAAGTAAGGACAACGCCGTACCACCCTCAGTCAAACGGAATGGTAGAGCGATGGCACAGGTCGCTGAAGGCTGCATTGATGTGTGCCCCGCACATTCCGTGGCCGAAACTGCTGCCAACTGTTCTTCTCGGCCTGCGTACAGCCACCAAGAAGGATCTCCGAGTTTCATCGGCTGATCTCCTTTTCAGAACGTCGCTACGGCTACCAGGGAAGTTTTCGTCTCACCGGTGGATCCGCTCACCGTCCTCGAGGCGCTAAGGAACCACTTCAGGGTGCTAAGACCAACTCAGACGGCGCACCATGCCAAACCGCGGCCCTTCCGGCACCGGGATCTGGCATCGTGTTCTCACGTTTTTAGACGGCTGGACCGCGTGAAGCGACCGCTGGAGCCGAACGTATAGAATATCGGTCAATGGTGAGGAGAAGACGGTCTCGACTGACTGTCTGAAGCCGGCATTCATTTCTGAAAACGGCGCGGACCAGACGCATCAAGCCGCCTCCAGGAAGAGCGAGCTCCAGCCCACGGACTCACGGCCACAGGGGAAGCACGTCAGAATCTCGCTCCCTTCTCTAACCGACAAGGTCACTGAGGGGGGAGTACCTGTGGCGACTCCGCCGACCGCGCGCGAGCATCGGCGCAAGCAGGTGCTGCAGCCGCGCTGCGATTTGGGTGAAGTGGCGCCACCTCTGGACACATCCTGGACCCTCGTCGAGCTGCCGTTTGCGGCGTTGGAAGCACCGACGACCGTCGCGCTGGCGCAACAGTAGCGCCACACGTGTGGCAGAGAGTCGAGATCTCTCTCGCTCTCACAGCGTCTTACAGAGAGGTCGTTCTTTCGTTCGTGGCTGTTTGTAACGCGATATCTGTGATATTACTGTTGGAATAAATTGTTACTGAGAAATATCGTGTCCATTCCTCTCCGTCACCCAAGGAACCACAGTTTTAACCTACACAACGGCATTTGTATTAAACTACACTATACTTCTCGCTACACTTCTGGATCACAGAATACTAACATATCTTTACTTTTCTGGATGAATTTTTATCCACACGATAGCGTTCGAGTGTAAAATGAATGTACGAGAGAAAGGAGAGGGGGGAGGGAGATAATATAACATTTTTACATATTGATGTTATTTACAGAACGTTAAATAATAAGACACACTCTGAAGTGTGCATATAAAGGGTGTCCAAAACCTTTCTTACAACAATTCGTGGGAAAGTAGAATGGACTAAACGGAGTAGAATGGACTAAAAGTCAAATACCATTTTACAAAACTCGCAATAGTTAATGAGGAATAATTTTATTTAAACTAATCAGCGCATGGGAAGCGACAGCTAAAAGAAAGATGTCTTCGGCCGGCGCGCGACCGTGATATTCGCGAATCGCGGCTTGCTGCGTCTCTCTACCCATAGCTATGACACACAGCAAGGCTTGATACATTAATACATGTGTATGACATATCCGTATGCCAATTCGGCGTCAATTCGGCACATGGCACAATAGATGGAAAAATCAAAGCGCATGACACGACAGGCGGAACATACAGCAGCCGGCGAAGAAAATGGACAATTACTCGCGAGCCTATCTTATAGATCAGAAAGGTGAGTCGTTTGGTAGCATACTGAAATGGATAATTCCATGTGTGCGTTCGTGTACATGTGCGCTCATCCGTTTTCTTTTTCGGCCGTGGCAAGCCGTATGTCCCGCCTGCCGCGTTGCGCGCTCTGATTAGCCCATCTATTTTATTTAATAACTCGAAATTTTACGTGATTGTTCGAAAAATGACTCCCACCATATTTTTTTACTTATATCTGTTCTACTTATATATTTTTTTAATACGTCTTATACGGGACACCCTGTATATACAGGATAGAACAGATAAAAGTAAAAATATGGTGGAAGTCATTTTTCGAACAACCACATAAAATTTCGAGTTATTAAATAAAATAGATGGGCTAATCAGAGCGCGCAACGCGGCAGGCGGGACATACGGCTTGCCGCGACCGGAGAAGAAAACGGACGAGTGCACACGTACACAAACGCAAACACGGAGTTATCCATTTCAGTATGCTATCAAACGATTCATCTCTCTGACCTATAAGATAGGCTCGCGAATAATCGTCCACCTATATATACAGGGTGTTCCAGAACAATCTACGAAGCTCTTGAAAAGAACGTAGACCGAGCTGAAAATAAATGTCCTATACTGTTTTGCGATATTCATAATAATAATGGAGAAATTAATTACGAAAGATTAAGGATAAGCGTGTGCTGAATGGTAGAGGACGGAACGCTCGAGTCACAGCGCAGCCCAGTTATATAAGGCGCGGATGTCGACGCGTGGCGATTGGAAGACAACGCACTACTGCCTATACTTATACCGCTGTGCTCTTATATCTCGTCTCGACGCGGTGCGGTAAGATGCATATTCACTACTTTCTACTACTACTAGTAACACTTATTGTACACTGTTGGGTCAAGTAGATCCCAAAAAAAATAAACAAATAAAATAAATAAAATAAATAAAATAAATCTATAAAAAAAATAAAAATTAAATATAATAAAATAAATCTATATATTTTGGAAAAACTGTTTGCTTTTTTCACAAATCCTAATTTTTATATTCAAAATAAATATCTTTTTTGAAAATCCTACTATTGTAGTAATTTTTTTCTTAAAGAGATATATCTTGAGAGTAGTTTTTTTTAAATTTTATCTTGAAAAATATCAAGAATTATGTCAGTTATGATTTTTGGAAAGCAAATCAAGTCATTTTCACGTTTTTTGGGTTTTCCAACTGTTTTCTTTATTTAAAATCAAATTTCAACTAGAAAAATTATTCCGTCATATAAAAAGATGTTTGATATATATCCTGGAATTTTTTCAAATAAAAAAGCGAATAATTTTATTGCAACAAGCATTTTTGTAGCTGAGGTCGCGAAAGACCCCAGTGTGTCCATTATGCGATTCTACTGAAATGTGCACAATAAGGATTAATAATTTATTTATTTTAATTATTGACAGATACGCAAAAAAAATTAATAAAAAATTCAAGTTTTGTTAAAGTTCGACAATCTCTAAAGAACTTATTTATTAAAATACAAAAATCTCTTTTTAAGATTATATTACAATGAGGTGCAGCGTTCACTTCGCAGTTCTACGTATACTTCGTGCGAATTGATCGCCGTATTCATTTTGCAGTATTCCCACCTAATGGACAATAAAGGACAATTTAAATAGAAGGACATTAATCAAATAAAAATTTACATAGCAGAAGTTCTAATGAAAATATTATTCTAAAACACACATATTTACCTGTTACCCTTACGATCCTCAATGGCGAGTTTATTGAAAAGTATTACATCCGCATCTAGATCCTCCGCGGCATTCTCTTCCGTCTTATTACCAGTACGTTGATATGAAATCATACCCGTGATGCTCATAGTATCAGTCAACAAAGCGTCAAACGTCACCGCTGCGATGTTGTAAAACATCATCCATTCATTTCTTCGTTTGGGCAAACTTAAATAAGATTTAAAACAATTAACAATTCCATTACTAATCAAACTAAGCCAGTTTAGTTATAAGTCAAAAACCTTTGCTTACGTGCATTGAATCTTAAAGAATGTCGTCGAATTACCCAGGAATATCTTGAGAGACAGTATCCCGGATGTTTTCGGCATACCCTCAGACGTCATTACTGATGCCCTCAGTGGTTTGCCTAAAAGATACAATAATTAGTTAGTAAAACAATAAGAAACAGACCATTCGCTGCAAAATGTATCTCGTTTTTAACAAAAGATTTAATTTGGTATATTTCGATACCGCAGAACGGTGATTCAGCTCTGGTAGCCAAGTAATAGATTCCCAAAGGTCCACGATTAGCCGCGTAGCCCATTTCCTGATTCCATTCAGTCGTTTCCATAGGGAAGCACATGCCTCGAATATAGGACATTCCGCCTTGCGGGCAAGGCCATGCGACGAATTTACATTTCTCGTTCTGCGAACGGATGCTCTCCACGAAGAAATACCAGGCTCTTAAGTGACTACACGCTATATCACGGTCCACAAGATCTTCTGCAATACGCGAGTGAGAAAAAACACATCAACTACACCTTTTCACAAAAATACGCGTTGTTTAATACGTTAACTATTGTGTTGATATACAAAAGTTTAACCTGCTTAAAAAATCCGATAAGGATTGATAGAGATATGTACAAATTTCACAGAAACAGTATATAACTTTATTTAAACTTAACATTTTTATTAAAAATTTTAATTTCTCACATTTCAGTTAATATAAAGAAAGTTATTAAAAATTCTCTTTTGTTTTATTATATAGTTTTATTATATTTTAATATATAGTACGCGTAATTTACTTTTAAATATATTATACTGAACAATTAACTTTTATGTTCTCTTCAAGTCTATATGATTTGAAAAGAAATGTAATTCTACGTAACTTTTTTATATTTAATTAGTTAGTACTCTGTATTTCATGACTTTATTCTCATGTATTCTACTTCTTCTAAGACCTGAAAATCAGAAAATATTTTTTTTTGCTTTTTATAACAAAAATTGTTATTCTCTCCTTGGTATTCCTTGGGTCAATACGACCCGATTGCTTTAGTATTTTTCATATTTTCTTTCGATAAATTACTGCAAGAAAACGTCTTTGAACATATGCCAATTTACTGTATTACAAGTTGATATAGATCATCAGTACGTAGAGAAAGTTTGAATCTGTGCCCAAGCTGCGCGTACAATACATGCTTCGATGCATGTCGCTGTTTGCTTATTTGTAGAAAATATAAACTCAGAATTATGCCAAGATGTCTCATCCGGATGAATAAACTATGTAGTCGTGCCCCTGCCCTGCATTATCAACAGTGTTCATAGTACATAAAAAATAAAAATTGCCGCATGGCCAGCGACGGCACTTATTTGGTGTCGTCACGCATCCCGCGGCGCCCCGCGCCCGATCCCCTCATTATGTTTCCTGTTCGCGCAGCATCAGCTCATTCACATAGTATGTCTTCCTCCACAATGTCCAAACATCGAAAACATCTTCCCGACATCGAAGCTTGTCCCGTCACTGTAGCTCTTCGAGGGATCGACCATCGTGTTCATCGTGTAAGCGAAGTCACCGTCAAAGTGATGATTCCCGAAAAGTTTCTCCTAACCTTTCTTCCCGGCATATGGACTTTCCTTCCCAGGGGAATCTTATTTGCATCCTCAACAATTTCCTCGACTTTATAAAAAGTCAAGAAGTGCCTCCATATATTGGAGTGCAGCCGGAGGCCATGAGATCCCTTGTTGACCCGTTCCTGTATCGGCGAAAAGGGAACATAACCATCTGTTTTTGCTCTGAAATGTTATCTGTTTTTTCAGAGAGCATTGATTTATTATCCAGTTCTGCAAGATCTGGCACTGTCGTTTTCATAGACCCAGAAATCACGATTCTTGGCAATCCTAGCCCTGTGAAAGCCCCCTGTCCCCTTCCTGTCGGACTTCTTTAGCGACCAGGCTCCTCTACCTTCAGCGACGGCGTGGCTGCCCATCCTCCTTAACTCGACAAAATCAAATGTGCGTATAGGTCTCTGCAATGAGTTGAGAGATTCTCTCCTCATCAAATATGAACCCAAGGAGGATTTGGCTTTTCTACAGCCCCCAAAGGTTAATCGCAAAATTCTCCCTATCCTGGGCAGCACGGTCCTTACTCGTGATAAACACCATGTACAGTTTCAATCCCAGGTAAGCGCTTCGCTGCATATCCTCGGCTCTGGCTTCTCCAAGCTGGCATCGCTCGATTTTCTTCAAAAATCCGACGGGGTAAGACAGCTTTTTTTAAGCTCGCTGACGGTATTCGTTTATTGGCGGATCACTACTTCCGATTATCCAAGTTGAGGCGAGCTTTTATTCTTTACATTTCCTGGCCAAGTTTCTGATACAGTAGCTATAGATGATTGTCTATTTGGAGCCAACTTTGCCGATGAGATTAACACTGTCCAAACTATCGAGAAGGTCGCTTGCAAGGTGGCTCGGAAACCTCAACACCAATTGTCCCATCCCCAACCGCCTTCCTTCGCTCGTCAGCGTCCAAAAAACCCGAAGCCCACCTCGTCTGGAGTTATCGACTCGTCCATCGAGAAGAAGAAATTTAGCCCCGTAGCCGAGTCGCCCCAAGCAATCTACTTAGATTCTACCCAGAGCAGTATCCACCGCTCCAGATTACGGACCTGCCGCTGAATGTGGTAAGGTCAGCAGGTCGGCCTGTTTTGTAGATAGATGGAGGCAGATCACTTCCGATCCGCAAGTTCTACAGACGGTGGAAGGTTATCAGATTCCCTTCACTATAACTTCACTTCCTCGTTCTTTCTTAAGAGAGTCGTGCTTTTCCAAGTCGGAAGCCAAATTTTGCGACACGAAAATCGCCTACTACAGAAAGGCGCCATATCTATTGTTAAACTTTCGGAAGAGTAATTTCTCTCCTCCTTTTTCCTCATCAAGATTCCGGCAGAAAACGTTTTATTTTAAATCTATGGGATCTGAATTCGTTCCTTTCCCCGCCACACTTCAAAATGGAAGATTGGCGTACTGTCGTGAGGTTCATGCTATCGCACTCTGGATCTTGGATGGCTACTTTGGATCTTGATCGCTTATTTGCTTGTCCCTATTCATCCTTTACATCGTCGTTTTCTTCGTTTCTAGTGGCGGGGTAGATGTTACGAATTCACGTCTTTTCCATTAGGTCTTTCAACGGCGCCTTTTATTTTTACTAAAATTATACGGCCTGTTATTCGAACTTTGCGTGAGCAAGACTTCCAATCGATGATTTACCTTAATGATTTGTTATGTTTAGGGGCGTTGGCTCAAGAGTGCCGAGAAAACGTTATAGCATCGTTGCAACTTTTTACATCCCTAGGTTTTCTCATTAACTACTCTAAATCCCACCTCTAAATCCCTCATCTCAGTGTACATATCTGGGTTTCCTGTTTGATTCTATTCATCAGTGCCTTACTATTCCACCTGAGAAAAGACGTAACCTTTTCTCCCATGTTCATTGCATGGCACATACGTCCCGCTGCTCCATCCGAGATTTTGTGAGTTTCATCGGCTCTTGCGGTGTGCCCGGCGGTCCGTTACAACCCTCTGTATATTAAGCAGTTTGAACGCGTCAAGTTTCTTGCTCTCAAAGCTTCTTCGGGCGACTACTCCAAGCAAATATCCATACCTTCTTTTTGTTCTCGACGATTTTACTTGGTGGCACAAAATATTCTCTGATACATCTCAGCATAATACCCACATAGCATTAGATATTTCATATATATACATGAAAACTCCATGATATAAAAAAAACATTCTGCATATCCATTGCACATACATTTTAAAATTCTGAATAAAAAGTCTATATACGCGAGATGAATATACATGACGATATATACTATGTAAAAACATTAATGGTTTTAATATGTATATATCGCACATAATGTCACATGTATATTCCATGAATATACATATTTTGGCACATATTTCGATACATGTCGCATGCATATACGTTAAAGGAAATTCGTGGTACATTCGATATCTGTGATAAGTGGTACATTCCGTGTGTATATACGTGTGTATATACATGAATATACTATGATGTACATCTTATGTATATACCTTGATAGACGTAACATGTGTGTGTGTATGTGTATATAACCAGAAAATATACTTACGATATGATGTACGATGTATACATGTTAAGTCTATCAAGGTATATATAAATAAGATGCACATCATAGTATATTCATGTGCATATATATGCCGAATATACCATTTATCACGGATATCGAATGTACCGCGAATTTCCTTTAACGTATGTGCATGCGATATGTATCGAAATATGTTCCAAAATATGTATTATATATTCATGGAATATACATGCGACATTATGTGCGATATATACATATTAAAACCATTAATGTTTTTACATAATATATATCGTTATATATATATTCATCTTACGTATATGAAATGTATGTGCAGTGGATATAAAATGTTTTTTCACATCATGGAACATCATAGAACTGCCTAGATAACAAGTATCTTTTTTGTGTTTCAAATTAAATTTCTTTTAGTATCAGAAAACAATTTATTTAAATTTACGAAATGATTTATTTGTATCTTATTTACTTTCAAAATAAGTAAATATTTTTAAATATACTTTTTACATACTTTTAAACTTATATTTTATATTTAAAATTATCTATTCTCTTCTTTTAAATAAATAATTTGTTTTTATACATGGATATACCATATGTATACAATACAAAGCATCTCTCAGTCAAAGTGACAATAGTGCAGTAGGTAAGGTGAACAATTCAAAAACCAGAGATCTCAGGTTCGAATCTCAATGGTAAGCAAATTTTCGAAGTACAATTTAATTTGAATTAAATAGCGTGTAAAACAATATAAAGTGAAAACTATAAACATATAGTTTATAAATACTTTGTGCTGTCTGTATGTATGTTATGTATATTCAAATATTTTTTTGACATACATTATGTATATACAGTGTATGTTTTATGTATATATATTACTAGTGCTAATGCATATTAGAATGTATGTGTTATGTATATGTAGAAAATATACAGAGTATATATACATGGATATGTAAAGAATGTAGAATGTATATACATATGTATATGCACAGAACATTCTATGTGCTTCTTTGCGGTTGCGGATGTACAGACATTGTATGTACATACCATGTACCCCAAGTGTATATACAGAGGATATGCAATGTACATAGATGTTTATACATAGAATATGCTATGTATATTCTAATGTTATTATCCGATCCAATCCTTTCGTTTGCGAAATTTTTTCTGACACCTCGCTCACAGGCTGAGGTGCTATTTGTGATAATCAGCGTACGCATGGCTGGTGATCGGCTGACGATCGCTTTCTTCATATCAATGCTCTAGAATTGAAAGCGGCCTTTAATGTCCTACGTTGCTTCGTCGTTCATTTCCGTCATTGTAATATTTTTTTGCGGATTGATAACTTTACTGCCCTCTCTTATATTA